ATGTATCTTGCCCCTAATAGATCGTATCAGTGGTGACACAATTGGATGGGTCACCATAACAAGTTACCGTACTATGCAGCACGTTTTCTAAGACCTCTCTGGTATATATAATTGAATAAGAAATAAAAGCATAAGGTTCTTTCACAACTAATTGAAATTGTCAATGTTTATAGAGTCTTGATATATGTAGACAATTTATGAAGACTTTGATCATGGTGACCCGATTGTTCGCTGAAAGAAACTTACAATTATCTTGACTGAATTAATCAGTATGGTGACCTGTGTACACGTCGAGTATAACACTTTTTTTGAGGTTTTAAGGATATGTATTGTCCTCGTTTGATATGATTCATGTTTTGTACCTTAATTCCCATATTTTTGGCACAGGTGTTTGTTTTATAGCTATTCAGGAAGGTGTATATTTGGGGTAAAGAATAAGAACCGATGTCACCATTTGGCGCAAGGCCAAATTAACATACGTTGTAAACAACTTATAAAAAATTGTCGATTTTACAGCAGTAGTCTGGAATATCATGAAGAAACTTTTGGACGTTTTTTACCAAACCAGGGGGGGCTGGCAGCGAGGTCTGGAACCGAGTTTACATGATCGCCCCAGTGAAGAAATTGGCCGAGTGAGACTGAGTACCAATTTTCCTTCAAAACAAACATGGCGGTGAATGCAGACATGAAAGGACGATGAGTTTTTGCTCAGTTTAAGTTGTCCAAACATTAAGGAAAGGTTTTCATGAACTTTGTTAATGGAACTTTTGGACATCAGCAGGCATGATGTATGAACAGTTCATGGGTGACTTCACTTTTCGTGATTCGGCATCTCGGCAAGTTCAGTTATTTATAAGCTCCGTGAATTTTACGAGCGACCACTTTGCTCCATCTCTTATGTTCTTCTGTTAACTGCAGTATTAAGACTCTCTATCCTAAACACATGCTACGAGTACACTGCTTTAGTGTGAGTCTTGCAACAGTAATAATGTGAATGTTCATTAAACCAATTTTCTAGTTCGCTGTTCGCAAGTTTGTTTGAACGCTGGGAGCCACAACAAATATTTATGGGCTTAAATACAGAATACAGGGCCAATTTAGTAAAAGCCAGGGTAAATGTTCCAATCACTTTGCTTCACATATACTAGGTCTGTCAGTATAAGCTATTTTTAATATCAGAAGGCTGGAAGGGGTTAACTGAAACTTCACTGGAACTTCATTGGAGTGATAATAAATTAATATTTCCAACAGCAGTACCATACCTAGTGGTTTTGTATTAGATAGTGACTTCGGTTTCAAGGTTTCGGTTTCAGTTTCCTTGAAAATTGTTTGTACAAAAATTATTCTTAGTTCTGAATTATACTGAAATGATTATAACGGTTTAGTGTGGAGGCAAGAGGCTAATCCAGTCGCTAATAAGATTGAGTACATCAGAGAGGAGTACGCGTTGAGAAACTCCCTCAAAAGACTGAAGTACAAGAAACAGAAAAAGAAAATTGAATGTTTTGCAAAGTTTATAAGAGAATCAAAAGGGGCTTGAAAAATGTACAACTTCAATTGTTGGTGTAAGTTATGAATCTGATTTACAACTAAAATAAACAAGGTAAAATTGACTTTTTTATCAACCATCAAAAGAAGTTATTGTCTCTTGAGCCCAATCCCCTCAGCAGTTCTTTCTACGATACTACCCTTGGCTTATTTGGCCTAGATAGGTATCTGCGGCTGATTTAGGGTGGTGAGCATTTCACCCTTTAGGCTTTTGAACAGGGTGTCTGTTTGGGCTGCAAAGGTTGATGAAGAGCAGTCTATAGTTACATTTTTGAACCACCATTTTTTTCCCCAAGTTTTTTCCATGGTTCTAAGTTTAAAAGCTAACTGAATTATGTATGCTAAATGAAATGAATCAGATTATAAAGTGTCCCAACAATTTTGACTGAGACTGTAGCTAAAATTTTTTTATTCTCGATATTTTTGACCGACTAGTTGGATTTTACTAAAACAATTATTCCTCTCTCCCTCATGGGCTCTGAGTCAATAGCTATTGACTCAGAGCCCATTTGGGCTCGAGGAATAATTGTTAATTATTTATCTATGTGAAGATTTATTATATACATCAAGTTTCATATATCAGTGTCAAGATTAGTTTACATCAAGACCCATATACATCGAGATTGTGATAGGCTTACATGAAGTACCAAGTCAAATTGGTTTGCCTGGTTAATGCTTTGCTTCAAGAGCCTCACAAAATGGCGCATGTTAAACCAAATCTTAAACAATTTCTTGGAGCATCTCTAAGAGAACCCTATACGAAGCAATTGAAGGATTTAACAGGCACTATGAGCCTATAATCGAGCAAGATCCCTCCGTGACAGTAGCCTCCGACTGTGAGCGTGCCCTTCCAAATCACAGTCTTCAACAGTCCGGAATATCCCTAAATTTAAGGACAGGGCTAACTGGTCACGCGACACTTTTCAACCAATGAGAGGGCCCGCTTGTGTTTATCAACAAACAAATCAAAACATCGCCCCAGTGATCAAAAATTTTCAAAACAACGGACGGAGTTGGACAGAATTAAAGATGAGCTCACAATACTCGTCTAGGTTTCACATTTAATATTTCAAAGAAAACATTTCATGTAAGAGAATAAGAGCATTAATCATTGCAAGGAACGAATCATTGGGGTGTTCCAACTGATTCCGGACCGATCGCGGAGGTCGTGGCTTTACTGGCATGACTTGCAAGATTTTTGATAGAAGCAAACTAGTCACGTGAAAAATAGCCTCAGAGAGAGCGTGAAAATTTGTTGAGATCGTGCAAAACAGGATTGGTACTACCTATATAACTTCTACAGGACAAGAATCAAAGAATCAGTCATCATAACAAGAATAGAAAGTAGTTCAAATTTATTAATTTTTCTTGTTTGTGTTTTTTTTGTTGTTTCGTGTTGACTTCACGCATCTGGTGCTTTCTTTGCTTGCTGTAGTACCTGCAATGTTTTAATTTTATCCCAGATAATCAGTGCATGTTCAATGAGTAGCGAAATACATCATTTACAATTGAGATTTGCCTTGTTTCTTTTATTGTTTTTTAACGTTGGATGAACATTTGGAGAATGCAACAACATTAAATCTTTCCAGATTGGTGAATTTCAGAAACAAAGCGGTTAGTATCTACGTTGCGTTTATGATCTTCAAATTTCATCCCCGCAAATTCGGCAAAGTGAGGCGAAATGTTGGACGTTAATATCCATAAGACTATTAAAGTTGTTTTGGCCTTGAAAAGAAAAAAGGCAAAGGCTCGTACTGATGCGAAAAAAAGTAATAACACGGCTCTGTGAGAAACCCGGGAGTGGAAAACGTACGTGTTTTGGACCTCGGAATTCAAAAATTCTCTACCAGAATTCTAGGTTGTCTACCATCCCCACATTCAACATGATAAAAGTTAATCGATAGGACAATCGAGGAAAAATATCTAGAACTTCATAAAAAATCTGTGAATCGAAAAAATAATAGACACTTGTTCACCTACCTTGAAAACCGACCAAACTCTCGCCTAGGCATCGCGTTGTTTAAAGGATAAAAGAAGAAATAAGCCACAAAATATGCTGAATATTTCACGAGACACTTCCAATACGCTGTCCACTTAAAAAAATTGTGTATGCCTCATGAAAAGTGTTTAAAATATGCCTGAGAGCCTCGAAACGATGACTGATTCTGTCTGCCTCCGTCCGTTGTTTTGAAAATTTTTTATCACTGGGGCGATGTTTTGATTTGTTTGTTGATAAACACAAGCGCGCCCTCTCATTGGTTGAAAAGTGTCGCGTGACCAGTTGGCCCTGTCCTTAAATTTAGGGATATTCCGGACTGTTCAATTTGGACCGATTTCAAATTCATTACATCATCAAATCATATAATTTCTGTGATATAAACTCACTTAAAGGCTCTTTGCACTGCCATTCGACAAGATCCTTGTCAACAATGTACTGTGGCTGGCTTCAGTTCCTGACCCATGTATTCCACTGGACGGCCAAGCTTAAAGAGTGGTTCACACACATGTCCAATATAATCTAAGTCCCCTTAATGAGATGCATATTTACCAATAGAACCACTGGAATGACATCATTTTCTGTTGGTACCAATCGAACCATTGGTACCAATGGACTATCTGAATTGCCCTGTACCCAGCCAGGCCACATGGGAAAATAATCTAAGCCCCCTTAATGAGATGCATACTAACCAATGGAAGTATTGGAATGACGTGATTTTCTGTTGGTACCAGTCCTACCATTGGTACCAATGGACACCCTTCTTATCACCACTAATGCTGATGGAGTCTATTTGTGAGTCTTGGACAACCCTCCTTTCATCATTGTACTTGGATAAATTGCCGATAACATACATAAGGACCTTTAAGTTTGTTGATGTATTAAAGAAACGGATCTGAAATCCACGAGGGATCAAGGCAGCACTATTAAAAACATGGAATCTGGAATCTGGAATCATGAAAAATATACTTTACACTCTATAATTTTTTCAAGTCAATCACTTGGAACCCTCTTTTACGAATTCTGTATTCCGTTTCTGTGATTTTGTTTCATATTTCAGATTCCACGTGTTTGCTATGTTGATACCGAGAGTTATTTGGAAGGCATGAAGACAGTCAAGTAGGGTTCTCGCTTGATTGGGCTTACAGCACCTGTTAAATCAATCAATTGCTTTGTGTAGCATTCTCTTAGAAATGCTTTGAAAAATTGCTCGAGATTTGGTATAACTTGCACCATTTTGCGAGGCCCTCGGAGCAAAGTATTAACCAGGCAAACCAATGTGACTTGGTACTTCATGTAAGCCTATCACAATGTAAATGTATATGGATCTTGATGTAAACTAATCATAACACTAATATAATGAAATTTCATGTATATAGATAAATCTCAATATAGATAAAGAAATCTTGATGTATAGAAAGAAATCTCGATGTGTATGAATATATCTTGATGTCTATAGGTAAATCTTGATTTATATAAATAAATCTTGATGTATATAAATAAATCTTGATATGTTGTCCCTTTTACACAACCATATGTGTGGAGTTAACTGTACATAAGGAAAGTGTTGTTGTAGAGGAAATAAAGGCAGTTGAATTCATGAGATCTCGTAGTGCGCAATTAATTTATGATGAAAATTATAATCCAATTGGATTACAGCCACGGGGTCATGCACCTAGCAGACTTCCGGTGAAGAAGTTAAGACATCTGTAACATAAAAGGAGAAAAGTAGAGTCCATGAGGGTGAGAGGGATAGGTGTTTTAGTAAAATCCATCTAGTTGGTCAAAAATAGCGAGACAAAACAACTTTAGCTGGCAAAACGCGATTCAGCTACCATTGTTTTGGGTTTCAAAGCCGGCACTTTTTGCTACTAGTGGGCTATAACATATAGCCTGGTAGTAGCTCAACCAATCAGAACGCAGCAATGATAATACACCACTAGTTGGATTTTACTAATAAAATGTAGTCGATGATGGCTTTATGTTCACTACTTGACCTGGTTCGGATGCCGATATTTCCCTGAGCCGAAACCTAATACATTGAATTAAGTACATGAAAAGTTCGGCGAACGTATTTTGCAATCAGTTCAGACCAAAATGAGCATTTTTCTCCTTTTGAATTTAGTTGGGCTGGAATTAAGATCGGCGTCTGAATCAATTCGTATGGTCTAAATAATTTGGGTCGGCCTTAATTCGAATTATGTTTGGCTCATGAAAAGTTCAGCGTCTGAACCGGGCATACTATAGTGGTGGCCAACAGTTTCAAGTGTGTAGTATTCTTTTAAAAAAGGGGCCTGTGGCCTGGGGACCCCTGTTTATCCTATGACTGACTCACAATGTAGATCCCTTCCAATCAAGTTTCAATTTTTGCTGTTCATTTCACTTGATATCAAGTACCTGTTGTTCAAAAACTACACATCTCAACCTGTAGCGAGACCGCCCTTTTATGTTTTTTATTCGAGCCACGAAAAGGTGTAGCTACTTACAAGACAATACCTTCATTTCCTAGTTATTTCAAGACCCCAATATTGGCCCAGGTCTTGGAGATCGAACCCGTGAGCTCCCTAAGGGCCTTTTCACACATGAGCCTGGTTTCCGAGATCTCGCGGTCACCACCTCTAAATCCTGTGTAAAATTTTCGATGTGCTCATATGAAGGGACAGGCTGGCTTGATTCCCGAGATCTTGTTTTTTCCAATCGGGATCTTGGTAAGTGGGTGGAAAGTTGCACCATATGAACACTCTACTGAGCCCAGTTACCAGGATAAGATCTAGAGTGGGATAAATTCTTCTGTAATAGGGCTGCCCGGATGGCATCATCTTGCTTTACCTGCTGTATTTTTCACATCATAAGTACCCCATTTGACTTCAGTTGCCAAAGCTATAATATAATAATAATTTTTGTGTTTCACCATTAGTTTGGTTTGTTTCTCGGATTTTGTGCCAGAACTCGTCCCTAGAATCTACGGCCTTTTCTCATTTCAAAAGCAGGCTGGAATTTCTCATATGAACTCAAGGTGAAATCGGTCCCGATAGCCGGGACAGTCCAGTCAACCAGGGTCGATCATGTGAAGAGGCACTTAGTTGAATTTCTATCCTACGCCAACCCTGTAAAGTGATTTGTACAAATGTTGCAGGCAAAATCCGTGCTCATCTTGTAAACCGCGAGAATTTCTTTTGTCTCCTATGAACAATTAGGGCTAGGAAACAAAGGAAATTTGAACCAAACTAGGTTAAATCTGATTTAAAATAGCCTGTGTTGCGGTCGGCCCGCGTATCGTGTTAAGGTTTAACCGGGAGTGTCTGCGAGACAGGCTAATTGTACCCACTACATAAAACCATGGCACGCTTAACAAGGCAAGTAGTTCCATCTGGGTTCTGCCCACCCACCCACACCCTAGTTTGTCAGAGTTTTCAAAACGCTACGGCATAACCAGGCCCCCAAAGGGTACCAAGTTATTAGCAAACGTAAATATACCGATTCTGTGTTAGCAATAAGCCTTCTTAGAATAATCGAGCCCTTCCAGCCAGAAAAAAACGTGTTTAACCAACGTGTTTGACTTGAGGGTATATCTATATTCGTGTCCCAGTGGCTACTAAAGTAACTGTATATTTTTACATTTTAGATGTTTGAAAATGTTGCTATTTGGCTATGGCATCTTCTTTATGCAAAACTGAATCACGTGATGATAGAGTAGATAAAACCCACCGAGTGAGAGTGACTATTTTGGCTTCTGAATGGGGGTCAAGCAAAGGAGGGCTTTCCACCATCAACAGGGAGTTAGCCATTCAGTTAGCCAAATGTCCTGAAGTGGAGGTCTCTTTCTTTTTACCACAATGCAGTCAAGACGACAAGAAGTTAGCCCTGACGTATAATGTAAAGATCGTTGAGGCAGCACCACTGACTGGCTTTGAGCAACTGGACTGGCTTTGCTTTCCGCCTGAAGATTTGCAAATCGACATTATCATAGGTCATGGAGCTAAACTCGGTAAACAGGCACAAATCATTAAAAGATCTAAACGGTGCAAATGGGTTCAAGTGGTGCACACAGATCCAGAGGAACTTGGAATGTTTAAAAACTATTCAGACGCAATTTCAAAGGGCGTAGGAAAACACAAGACAGAAATAAAACTGTGTGAAATGGCGGATCATGTTGTTGGGGTTGGCCCCAAGTTGAGCGAGGCCTTTCGCTCCTATCTTCGCAGCTCCCAAAAAGATGACAATGTTGTTGACTTCACTCCGGGAGTATTTGAAGAGTTTGCGGCTGTGAAGCAGGCCCCTAGCGAAAGGCAACAACGCAGTGTCTTGGTGTTTGGTCGTGGAGACGTAGAGGATTTCAAACTGAAAGGATTTGACATCGCTGCGAAAGCGGTTGCTGAATTAGAAGATACCCGTCTTGTGTTTGTTGGAGCTCCAGATGGGAAACACGAAGAAATAGCAAACTGGTTGACCGAATGTGGTGTTCCTGCAAGTCGCTTGAGAGTAAGGGAATTTCTTCCAGACCGAGAGAGTTTGAAACGCTTGTTTCAAGAAGTAGATCTTGTAGTCATGCCTTCAAGAACAGAAGGCTTTGGGTTAACAGGACTTGAGGCCCTGTCAGCTGGTCTTCCTGTGCTTGTTAGCCGCAACTCTGGTTTTGGAGAAGCCCTGTGCAGTCTATCCTCTGGTTCAATGTCTGTGATTAACACAGAGGACCCCGCAGAGTGGACCTTAGCCATTAAGAACGTCTGGGCTAAGGACAGGAAAAACCGACTTGAGGAAGCGGAAACCTTGCGTTATTCTTACGACAGGAAATACAACTGGGCCAAGCAGATAAACGATCTTATTGAGAAGATGATCAGCTGGATCCAAGGTAGGAATGTCTATTTTCTTTTATATTTCTTTTTTTGTTTGTTCGTTTTTTTGCTTTGATTTTTTGTAACAAGTATACTCTCTTCGTGATTAAAATTAAATTAAAGAAACTAATAGAAAATTATCGAAAAACAAACAATCAAACAAGCAAAACAAAAGAAAAACAAAATCTGAAAATAAAATAAATTAAAACTAAACTAAACAGACACACTTTTATTTTGAAATCGCAATAGAAATGTTGGTAACTATTCAGCCTTTTCCAAGCTTCAGGATAGCAATACGTGGAAGACTGTTTCCCTTTAGCTATTGTTGTAAGATTTTTAATTCATAACCATCTGTCATATGCTTCATCCACAGCTCACTTATATAATTATCTTTTGTGTCCATATTTACCGTAAAAGCCCGGTTCCATCTGTTTTAACTTTAACAGACGATTCTTCAAATGTCACAAGCCCCTCAGAAACAACAGGCAGAATGTTTTCATCTGCCTGCAAAACTTCTCAGCGGACGGAAGGTATGGACGAGCACCGCGCAGGTAATTTTTCCTATCCTGGAAAACTTCTATTATAATCAGTACAATAATATTGCCTACGAAGGGGTGTTCTGTGCTCAAAAAAGCGTTATCATACTTTAACAATTGTTCAAAACTTTAATTTCAATTTAAGACATTGATAATTGGCAGCACGTTGCGCTCTCTTGTTTTTTTCTGCGTTCTTAACTTTTCACTGAGATTTGCCGTAGATTGGCTTTGGCTTTCTCGCTTTCTATAGGTATAACCACCTCAGTGAGAGAGACAATTGTTGGCTTCACACTAGAGCTTGCAAGCACAATGTAAGTGTACCTGGAACCTACTTGAGTGTGAAGAGGTAATAATGTGCCAACTTCAACTTTCCTTGGTGATCATGGAAACGATTGTAGTTCAAAGAAGCTAAAGTTCGCCGCCAAGTATCGGGTCTACACTATGAACGGACAGATAAACATTCAACACGTCTTAGCTAAGAGCATTGCAGAAGAGTCCAAGCCCAAAGCTCTTCGGCGATTTCTTTGCCAAAGAGCGCGTTGTTGAGCCGTTCTAAAGAAATACAGAGGAAGACTTCGCTTGTGTTTTTTTTTTCTATGACACTGCTAAGTACTTAAAAAAAGCGAAGTACGTAAGCATTTCTGTTAGGGTCAAAACCCTTTGAGTTCAAAGTACTCAAAAAATATACAACTGTTTCGAGAAAGGTTGTCAGAAAAATTGCACGTGACAGTCCCCAAAAGTATTGTGGGTGGTTTTGATTTCAGTGTTCTGAAGGTGGCTTGACCCAGTATTTTTGTAGGTAGACCTTCCATCTTTGAATCTCTTTGACTTAAACAAATTTATCTTTTTTGTAAAACTATTGTAAACACATGTATTACACATAGACTTAACTTTATCATGACATTATTTTGGAGTCGATCGAAATATATATATCACTGACAACGACGTCACAATAGTTTTAGCTCTAAATCGAATTGCACCCCTTATCGGCATTTTCTTTAGAAATGCTTGATGTTTCCTATACTTTGGGTGCTTGTCTTCTGTTGTGCGTAGTTTCACAAAAATCTACAAGAAGGTAAACTGAAGACTGGAGTCAATGCAGACAAATTTGCTACTTTTTGGATGTTTCTGAAAAGTGTTTATCACTCGTTCGTTTTGCAAATGACCCTCATACACTCTACAACCGGCTAAACGCGAGTAGACTTCCGCGATTTCGAAAAACACGAAAACATGTAAATCAGGGTAAAACGCAATGCTGCGCTCTTTTTGTAATTGTGTGGTTCCAGAAAATAGCCATACCACCCCCACAAAAGGGATTTGCCGTATGACCTCCCTCCCCTCTGGATTTTCCAAAATCGGCCCTCAAAATTCACCCCCCTCACCCCTCCGGAACTTCCAAAATTTTCGCACACCCCGTGAAACTATTGCTATCTCTTATTGAAGTGAACAAATGAGTAGTTTCGTTCACTAGGATGTCAAATTTTGTGAGTTTCGTGTATTTTCTTTTGAATTCTATAACAGATAAGCGCATTCCATATGCGAACTCCTTATACGCTCAAGTCACGAGCAAATTTTGTACAAAGAGATAAACAAAAATTATTTTGTGCTCAAGTCACGAAGAAATTGTTGAAAAAGTTCTTCAAATGAAATACAAGGTCACGTGGGAAATATAAGCCTTTTACGTCGCTTAATTTAATCCACCGTGTTGGACCAGCCGTTGGCTGCTATTTCCGCTGGGCAAACTGCCATTATCGCTAGGTTTTGCGTGCGTGTCTTTTTTTTGTTACTAGTGTAGACTTCGATCCGTCAACTTCAGCTCGGCATGGGGCCATAGGTTTTCTGTACACCAGTTTTTATCTACTCAAGACTAATCAGGTTTTCTGCGTGTGCAAACCAAAGATAGTACTCTCTTTTCTTTATGTTTTGGGGGTTAAGTTTTTTGGTTCTTTAATTCCTTTTAATCGTTTTTTTGGTTAAGTTTAGTTTAGGAGCTGTTTTTTATTGCTCTTTTATTGTTACCGAGTCGGCTATTCTCGGAATATTGTTACATTCTGGAGTTATTAGGTTAGGTTTATACTGATCTTTAATATAGAGTTTAATCATTATTAGCTACCGTCTTAGTATAGTCATCGTATATTTGATTATTTTCTTAGCCTTTCGTTTGATATGCGTAAATAAGTAATTGGCATTTCTCAGTTGCTATCGTTATTGCGAATGGTAGCTGTAATTTTCTCGAATACGTCAGTTTATCCTAGATTATTAGTTACATTAGTTTTTCCCTTTTTACTGTTTTATTTCAGTTCGAACCCACGATCACGACATATCACGACACTCGGCTTTACGGCACATGGTTAACACTCTTTCATCTTGGCATGCAATCAGCTTCAATTGAACTTATCAAACATTGAACTTTGATTAAACTTGCTGATGGTAATCAGAACTTTTCGTCGAGTTCGTTTTTTATGCACCGCTCTTGTCTCTCTTCTACCCTTGTTATTTACTTGGATTTTTCTTTCTTATCCTTATAAGTGACAGACGGAAGGTGTACCTACAAAGATGCTTGGTCGAGCCACCTTAAAGAAATTTGAAAGAGTAGCTTGTGAGGCCATACCCAGCTTGCGGCGGGAATTTTCGGTGTGGGCCGAAGGCCGACACATCTTTGGCCGTAACTAATAATGAGGCCATAGACGTATGTTTGTGAGTGCTAAAGGAAAGCAACAAAAATAGGTGCGACAGCTTCAGTGTCAGGAATAGTGTATTGAGCATATCCCATGTTACCTTTCGGGATCGTCGCGTGGACATTTTTACCAACAACCTTTCTTGAAATAGCTGTATACGAAACTACAAAAAACTCTTTTCCAACACAAAGGCCTCATGTGGTTGTACGTTCATAGTGGTAGTATTTTACCGTGAAAGAAGATTGACAGCTTTTACTTCAAGTAATATACTTTGTTTGCAAGTGTGTAGCTATGTTTTCTACAGAGCAACTTAAGATTTCCAAGTGCACTTGAATGAAGTGCTTACTTGAAACTAACTTTTCTTCTAGGGTGAAGCCATCAAATATATATCCAACTTCGCTTTGCACATTTCGATCACCCCCTCCCCCTCCCTCCCTAATATACCGCAACCAATATTTTTAAACTGCAATTAAACAAGGTCAAACATAAGTCCTCTGCGCCCCTGATTCAGTTAATAGTAAACAAGGACTAAAAAAACAATTAATAGAGAGGAGAAGTATGATGTCACATTACCATGGTAGAAAAATGTTTGGATCACAACAGTGGGGGGCTTAAAGGTCAAATGAACCAAAAAGGGAAATATTTTCTTTTGTCGCTTTACCTTCACCAAACACTAAAATGAACCATCCTAAGTAAGATTTAAGTAAAGATTTTTACGTAATAAAACTACAAGGCTTCCAAATTCTGTGGCTGGCCGCAGCACAACGTCTTCTGAATTTTGCCCATTTTCTCCCACTTCCACACGTCCCTGGCTACCCAGCCTCCGGAAAATCAAAGCCAGATAGTTTGCGAAGGTCGATGTCAAAAATGGTTGAGATTGCTTGCCTCTAATGACCTAAAGTGACGC